AATTCTCAAGTTTTCAATTTCTCAAATTTCTAATTCTCAAGCTTCCAATTCTCAAATTTCCAATTCTCAAGTTTCCAATTTCTCAAGCTTTCCTAATTTTCAAATTTCCAAGTTTCAACTTTCCAATTCTCAAACTTCCAATTTCTCAAATTTCCAATTCTCAAGCTTCCAATTCTCAAGCTTCCAATTCTCATGCTTCCAATTCTCAAGCTTCCAATTCTCATGCTTCCAATTTCTCAAGCTTTCCTAATTTTCAAATTTCCAAGTTTCAACTTTCCAATTTCCAAGTTTCCAATTTTCAACTTTCCGCTTTTCAAATTTTCCAGATTCTTCATGACCGGCTACCTGCCGGTAGGTTTCGAGTTCGCCGCGGAGCTGACGTACCCGGAACCGGAAGGGACATCAGTTGGCCTTCTGAACGCGGTGTGCCAAGTGTTTGGTATCGTCCTGACGATCCTCTACAGCTTTTCGATGAGCATGTGGGGTGTATTCTGGGCGAACACTTTCCTCTGCGCCACGCTTACCATCGGGTCCGTTCTCACCATCATCATCCCCAATGATCTTCGAAGGCAGAACGCCAAATTTTAAGCGTTGATAGAGAACGGAGAACGATCGACTAGTCTTTTTTTACGATCGATGATATTACGAGAATAGAGCTTCCAAGTCCAAGGATGGATATTTTTAACAAAAGATAAAAAGAAAGAGAGAGAGAATGAATGATTAAAGGCTGTTAAAAATGTTTAATTCTATGAGATTGCCTGGTGAGATTCTTCAGGACCTTCCAGCCCACGTTACTCTACTGTTGTTGTTGTTGTTAATATATTTTCAATATACGTTTTGTTTCAATTAGTGCAGTAACATGAACTGATATCTGGTTATAAAGATAGAGAGTGTAATTAATTGGCTTTATTGGAACGTTCAAAGAGATTAGTGTGTATGATGACACGATATTAAGTCTTGAAAATCTGACGAGGTAGATTATAACTAAAAAAAGAAACAAAAAGATATGAAAAAAAGTGAACAGGAGTTACAAGAAGATTCGAGTACTAACAACAGTAGTACACAGAGAGATAAGTGAACGATAACGTTGGGCATGGTTCAAGATCTGAAATCGCGTTGGAATATTCCACGTCCACTCGTCCGGCTGTGAAGAAGAGAAGAATTTGTTTTATAAATGAGATTAATCGTAATATCTTATGCTCAAAGCTCAAACTTGCTTTCCTTGCCTTTGTTTTCCTCTTCTTTCCACTGTGACGACTCTACGGTACAGTGGAACGTTTCTATCGCGTTTAGATAACGTCTAAAACTCTTGTATTGCATTTCAAAACGAAAGAAAGTCGAACGTAGAGCAAGCTGCACAGAGATAGTTTTCATGTAGTTTTAAGGATCGAAGACTTTTGTCTTACTACTCAAGAAGTTCGAGGATTGTAAAAGTTCTACGTCCAAGATTCTTTATTCCACCGACAGTGCCATCAGTATTACTGTCTTCTGAGACTCTGATGAACCTACCAAATGATCTGTCGGTTTAGAAATTCATCTGGACGTGGCTTTTGCGTGTTGAAACCTCGAACGATACGAATCGAAACGAAACGACCTAGCATTTTTATTGAAAATCATTCCAAATGAATAGTCGTTCGTGGTCGCCCAAGAAGAAACAGAAATGATAATACTAGTGACAATAATTCTTGTAGCGACTGGACTCTTCCAGAAAAACATGATCGTGATGCTGTGCATCCGAATAACGCATAAATCTACGTATTCTCGTTACTCGTGTAAATGTTTCAGTTGACAAGAATAGAGTAGATCTCTAAATCTCGATCTTTCGCGGTGTACAAGCCTAAGAAATCGTGTTTCCTCAATATGTAGTCTATCTATAATGTTTTTCGAATTTTTAATCGAAGTCGAGTTGGTCATTTGTAACAAAATTGACGCAATTTGTCAGATATCGATCTTGCGAGATGTATTTCAGAGACTTCCGCTGAAATATATAGATGAGATTACGTTTTTATGGTATTTCAAGTTCACTGGAATCTTGAAATTCGCGGTGCGCTTATTGCAAACGAGTGGAGTCTCTTTCAACTTCAATTCTATGATACATATGATATAGGTTATGTCGATGGTTAAAATTGTGTAGCGAACGATGGAGTTTTTATGGACCATCAAGTTTAATAACAATTTTCGATAATTCGATAACCTAGAAACGCGCGGAATATGCGAGACATCGAAGTTGCAGATTGCTTCACTAGCACAGAAATTCGATTTGCGATCAGACCTAACACCTCCAGTTTCGATTAACCTTGTTTAACACGAAGCCAAGGAGGGAAAATTAATTGCCGCGCAAAAGACCAATTTAGACACGCTAACAGATACCTGACATCGATTTTCTCCTCTAGTTCAAAGTAATTTTATCGGTAATGCCGATAATTCTTAGATTCTATATTTTCGATATTACGAAACAATCGATAATCGCCGTTTGACTGCTGCCAGATTATTCAGTCTCCGTGGTGTGTTGAGTTTCGTGTAATAATTCCGTAAAAAAGAAACGACAATAATTGTACCTCCACGTACAAAATGAGTATTAAGGAAACAGCGTGAATACCGTATAAGCGTATAATTATTGTAGATCGTTATCACCGATGTACGTGTACTATTTTTGATAGATGATATCGTGTGTCCTAATGTTGCGGGGCCATGCGTAGAAACGAATAGGTACGAAAAATAATGGACAATAACTTTGTAGCAGGGAATTAAGGATTTAAGTCTGACGAGACACAGTTTTCTTTTTATTTTCAATAGTATTCTTAAGGCACGAAGATAGTCGAAAGAAAATTGCACCGTTCACATTGACTTGTATTCTGAAGTTGTCACTTTAAGAGGTTAGTTTTGTATTATCTTCTTTGAGAGATCGATTTATTATTAAGGAACGTTTTTTCAAACAGGAAACTTTCAGGAATGGTAGTCAATTAATTGTTACGAATCCTTCTAGTGCATCACAGAATAAATGAACAGTCCAAAGATTTACAGATATATAGGCACACGTGCATAGATATATGTATATGTATATATTTTCGTAATATTGACGTTTACATGTATGTTTATTCAAGGCGATGTATCTATGTGCAAGATGTTCAAGCAAATTCTCCGTAAACTGTAGTTGGACGATATTAGCTGTCCATACGTTACAATAGTTACCATATCTCGATATGAGTGTCAAAGACAATATTAAACTGTTAACGTGTGCTGAGTCTATATTGTTAAGTAATTGTGAAATGTTGCAAGGTAGATAGAATTCGTGAGTACGTGCTTCTATTCGAGGAAAAAGATAAAAATGAAATATAGAAATCGGAAGTTTCGCAGTAGAAAGAATGCGTGGGGAATCGTGAAAGATTTTATTACAATCTCGTTTAATTAATTTTGCTGTATCAGCAATCTTTTTTAATGAAACGAAAATTTTTTCGTATCCACGTAAGAATTGCTTTGCTATTTTTTTCGTCTTCCAAATTCGAGCCATACTTTTTTACTTAGATAGAAAATGAAAGTTCAAAATAATTCGAGCAACGATATTACGAAGACTTCCGCTATTTTTCATTTCGCATTTATCATTCGTTGACCCTCCATTTTGTAAATAAATTGTCGATAAACGACGCGTTATTCCTTTAACCTCTTCGAGTGTATAAATTGATGCGAAATTGTTTCGGCGATGTGCATAGTCTCAGAACCGGAAATGTGTGCGCGTCACGTCAGAGTGATGTATCTGTGATTGTGACAATATCAGCTATTCGATTATCGTCTGAATGTGTAGAGCGATAAGAAGCTTGGAACATTTCAAACAATTTAAGATTATCTATATATTATTGTTACCGTGTAGCCTCGTTGAACACGAATGGAAAAATAAATAAATTGATAAATATTTACGATACATTTCTAACTTGTTTGCAGACGATGAACCACAAAATATTCTACGACATCCTACATCGTTATATTCTCCTAACTTTGACTTTAATTCTCGAGATGTCCTGAGCACTCTTGAGGGCTCTTTTCTAATAACAGTAATAGGAAAAGATGATAATACGAGAGTCTACAGTGTCTACTCTGTCTGGATATATTTTCCTAATATGAAATTTTACTCAGGGGGGCGTAATAGGATAACATGACAGAGAAAAGAGACAGAACCTAACACTTACGCGATTATGTTCGCCTGGTGAAGGTGTAGGCTGTTGGCGATAGCAGAAGAACATGAACAGGGAAGAGTTATCGCATAACCTCTATTACGATCATGCTTTGCTAGTAAGAGAATTCATTTTTCGACGCTTGAAGAACGTCGATGGACGGTTGCTTGGTGACAGAGTAAGAGAAATTCTCTTGGAGAATATAATCGAATCCAAGGACGCGTAAAATTCTTGTCAAAAATGTTCGAACGAAAGTTTGTTATATTCACGGTAATATTCTCCACGCTATTTTCGGGATACTTTCGATTATTATGTGTTCCTAACGATATTCGCAATTGGTTTATTTAATTTTGCATTGAAATTTTGTTTAAACAATGAGTTCTTTGCAAAAGGATGTGGATAAAGTGGTGTGTAAGAGAGAAATGCACTGTAAAATGTTACGAAACCATACTGGTATATTGTAACCTGTTGTAAAATACATTTTCTACACTTATCATACAAAACACAATTGATTTTTTCCTAAATAATTACATTTCTTCGTTTCTCCTGAAGTTGCAGATGTTTCTTTGATTCCTGTGATGGCCTGAGAGCTTGATCTGTAATGCACACAAACAGAAGATTAATTTTCAAATGTTAAATAAAATTTATGAACAATTTCTAACAAATCTGCTGTATGTAATCGTTAATTTAATGTGAAATCAATAAATTAAGCTGTTTTATCAAGTTAAATCATGTAACAAATTAATTTAATCCTTCCAATAGTTATAAACTACCTTCTAAATTGTTACTTAACAAGAAATACTAATTATCCTTCAATTAAAATACTTAGGAATAACGAATAGTTCGGGAGATATGTAACTGCGAGAAGATAGCACTATTCAAATGAGTTGGACAAGGACAGGAATAGGGGGAGACAAGGATAGCATTAATGTAATAAGTTAGACAAAGAAAGGAATAGGATTAGACAAGGATAGAAATACTGGCGGGCGAAAGTGACGCCATCTCGTGTTTGGCAGCGCGAACTAACGACTCGTTAATAGGATAACAGAATATAAACAGAGGTATTAGACAAGGAAAGCACTAGTGTGCGACAAGGATAGAGAGAAAACGCTTCCTATTGGTCGGCGGAATCTCAGCTCTACTTCCCACGCGCTGAATCAACTCGGCCAGGGAAAAATCATTAATAACTCAATAATTACGATGATTCTGTGAACTTTTAGAATTGAATAATGGAGTGAGGACCTTCAGCAACTTTCACATATACTTCTTAATGCGCTAGACCCCTTCAATAATTAGTTATTAACAATTTTAGTAGGTGATGTCGGGAATGATACCGCGTACCGTCAAGTATCTTTCTGGTTTTTCAATAATTTCATAGCTTTCTACTAAATTCCCATGCAAATAACTATATGTGTTTGAAAGGCAACTCCTTTAGCTACATTCTTTTCTAAGTTTTATTAACATATTCCGTTTAGTTTAGGAGTTATTAAGCATTATATGAGAGTGTTCCCTATACATCGTAAGTGAGTATAGTTAACTGTCATAAACAATTGCTAATATCTAATAAACCATATTACTTACGGTTACCAAATATATTGTAGAATATAGACAAAGGTCTATATTATATTCTACATGCATAAAAGTGCAAAATTAATCATGCATTTTCGTGAAAATGACAGAAATCCGTACACTTGAATGCGACGAGTTTAGTATTCATCCGAATAACATTTAATAACTCAGTAATTCCGAAAATTTTATGAACTTTTAGTATTGAAGAATAAAGTATGGACCTTTGGCAACTTTCCCATATAAATTTTAATATACTAGACCCTCTCAATAATTAGCTATTAACAATTATAATGAGCAATGTCGGGAACGATACTGCATACCTTTGCGGTTTTCCAATAATTTCATAGCTTTCTACTAATTTCTTATGCAACTAACTATATCTATCTGAAAGGCAAGTCTCTTAGCTACATTCTCATATAATTTTTGTTAACATACCTCTTGTGGTTCGATAGTTATTTAACATTCTTTAGGCGAGTATTACAACCGTCGCATTCAAGCATAACATGTTTACGTTATTTCAATAGAAATGCATAACTAATTGTGCATTTTAATGCATGTAAAATATAGTATAGACGTTTGCCTATAATCTGAAATTATTTATAAGTGCGTACGTGACGTGCTTTATGAGATATTAGCAATTGCTTATAAGAGATGACTATACTTGTGTACGATTAATAAGAGACTCTATTACTCTATTATCACACGATGGCCATCGTGAATATCGATCTCGATCGGTATGTTATCGAAGTTACTTTATCGAAGTATCTACACTTTTTCATTTGAACACAAGTGTTCAAGCAAATGCTTGTGGCAATGTTTTGCGTACAAAGTATTGCATACAACAATGTTCTGCATGTCGTACAGCGTTACAAACGAAAATACGTTCGTTTCAAAAATAACACGTTTCAAAAAGTTGCAAAAGCGAATTATAGCGTTTTCAAAAATGTACTTTTTCCGAGAGCCCGAGCGAGCCACATTGTATCGAAACGCGTTATCGGGTCTCCAACTTTGTTGCCAGGAGTCGCTCCCGAAAAATGCACATTGTTGCAAACACGTTGTCGGGTTTGCAACTTTGTTGCCGACAGTCGCTCCCGAAAATTGCACAATGTTGCAAAACGGGGCGCCGTGCAACAATGTGCCATTTTCAGGACAACAAAGTTGCAAACCCGGTAACGCGTTTTGCAACAATGTGCAATTTTCGGGAACGACCCACGGCAACAAAGTTGCATACGGGAAGACCGCGTTTGCAACTTTGTTGTCAAGAATCGCTCCCGAAAATTGCACAATGTTGCAAAACGGGCCGTCGTGCAACAATGTGCAATTTTCGGGACAACAAAGTTGCAAACCCGGTAACGCGTTTTGCAACAATGTGCAATTTTCGGGAGCGACTCACGGCAACAAAGTTGCATACGGGAAGACCGCGCTTGCAACTTTGTTGTCAAGAATCGCTCCCGAAAATTTCACAATGTTGCAAAACGGGCCGTCGTGCAACAATGTGAAACTTTCGCGACAACAAAGTTGCAAACCCGGTAACGCGTTTTGCAACAATGTGCAATTTTCGGGAGCGACTCCCGGCAACATAGTTGCAAACATGACAACACGCGTTTGCAACATTGTTGCGCGAAGGTGTTCTCGAAAGAGGCACCTTGTTGCAAAACGGCGCGTCGTGCAACAATGTGCGTTTTCTAGAACGATTCGCGGCAACAAAGTCGCAAACTCGATAACATGTTTGCCACAATGTGCATTCGAAAATAATTCGAGTTAACGATGTTACAAGCGAGAATGACGCTTGTAACGATGTTACATTCAAGCGTAGTGCTTGTAATAATGTTTGTTGTAATTGCATTTCTTCATTTTTCACGATGTTCAAGTCCTTTCCTTGATTTCTGTGGTGTCCAGGGAGGTCCATCTGTAATTCATACGAAAGAACTATAAGTTTTATTAGTTTTAATAAAAGTTAGAAACAATTACTGTTTAATTTACCGAATGCAATAGTTAATTCAATGCAAAATTCATATATTAGGTTGTTTTGTTAAATTAAAGCATACAATAATTTTATTTAAGTCTTCCAATAGTTATAAACAACCACCTAAATTGTTATTTAACAAGAAACACTAATTATTCTTCAATTAAAGTACTTGAAAGTAAGTTAGAAACTGTATTTTATCTATCTATATTATTAGTAATGTTAAATCAATTAAAAATTTGTTATAAATTTATTGTATACTATATGCAATTATGCTGTAATCTAACGTAACTTAAAATGCCAGGTTAAATACATCCAATTTTAATGTGAAAGGCCTTGTATTAATTCCCTAGAATATAATATAACCAGCAGTTACAAATTTCGAATGATGATGTGCACAAGAAGAAAACTGCAATTATCATTTCTGCACAGCAAGTTAATTACGTTGTCGATAGTCGATAACTTACCTACACATAATAATATTCATATCTTTACAAGATGTCTATTTATATATAACAAAATCACCGTTATAATTTTGCAATCCATAGTTAATTATCGATAACTGTTAGACAATTCTAAAGGAATTAAACACGACTCATTGAACGTGACTAGTAACAATACAGACAAGTCCAATAATGAAATGTACCTTTCTAATACGAAATTTGAATGTAAAATGTAATTATCAAGATTTGAATGAAGAAATTTGACATAAATGGACCGAACTCCAGCTGTTAAATCCAGGTCTTCGACAAGTGGGAACGTCCCTTAGGAAACGCAGATAATAATCGCATAATCATAAATCTTGCCACGCATCGACCACTCTGACCGGTTTTCAAGAGGACGAGTAGCTCGTTGAATTAACGGTAGAAACTCGTCTCTGCACTTTTATAACCTACCATAAACACAGCAAGTTCTTTCTTCGGTGACTAATCATGGGAGACTATTTACGATCAGTTCCATAAAATTTTATCACACTTACTATCGTAATTACACGAATAAATGTAAGGTTTACATGGTGATGTAATTGAAGTTGTTTAAACGTATCACCGTGAGATCTCTCACGGTCCTTTATTTCCATTTTTGTTCTTTTTCTTTTATCACAGTCGATGCTACGAAATACATATACAGATTGCTTCTCACTTGTGTTCAACAATAAATATAGAGACGAGGAGAAAAAAAAAAGAAGGAAACTCATACATAATCGTAGTTATCCACGAACGAATAAACGCCAACGACGTGCTCTACATTATCGCGTCGATGTAAATGTCCATTAACCGCAAAATACACGTTTCAGAGGAAAACGTATATACGGAGGAGTGGGGTTAGGGTTAGTATTAGGGTTAGGGTGGGGGGGTAGGGACTTTCAGCACGCGTTCAAGTAGCATATTGAAAGCTGACACTCGCTATTCTGGTATACGAAGAAGGTTCTTTATGGTTTCTGACCGACGGTCACGCAAATGTATTATAATCAGAACCGGGTCAAATAACATGTAAATAGCTCGTTTGAACTTCTTCTTATAGCTTGATACAAATGTTACACGAACCGTTTACTTCTGGCCATAATTACTATCGTTTATGCTTCCCTCTATATACCGTTTGCCCGATTTTGATTGAATGAAATGACTAAGAAGGTAAACGAGGTATTGTAGTCGCGACGAAAGCATCTGTTAACATAGGAATTGCACCATTTGACGAAAAAAAAGAGAAAATTCGTTTTGTTCATTTCGCGTCCAGTATGATCGAGTGGAAAATAATAATGCTCGACTATCCGGGACACGAACGTTAATGTTCACAACGTTGTACAATTGTGTTACTTCACGCGGGTGATTAGAAGGCACATAGGCGTGCACAATCTGAGGCATGTCGAATCAGCAGATTCTCCATTGTGTGTGCTTCGAAATAATGACTTAGCAGGAAGATCGTAAATATCGTGTGGGCAATATATAAAATGGCACGCTATTCACGCTTGTCTCTACTCGTGTCCGAGAACTTTATGTCCTCTCGATATTCTGTAGTCGATTTTAAGAATCCTTCGTGGAAGGACTGCTTAGTGTTTTGTCCCGTGCACTGACCGCTCAACTGTTACAGTCATATTGTAAAAAGTGAAGCTGAAATTTCTATGTGAAAATTTTTAAAATTCGAATATTTAAATTTGAAAGTTTGAAATTTTTTATTTAAATCTGAATTGGAATATTTGCAATTTGAAACTGAACGTTTCAAATTCGAAGTTCTTCAAACAGAGGGAGATATACGCTTGATCAAGCATCGTTCAGCAGCGTAAACTCCGTTCCTACGTTATCAATTGAGGGTCAATGTTTGCCACTCGACAGCCTCGCAGACTTTTACAAACTATACAAACCGCAAACATCTATTACGAACAGCACATACATCTGTACGTACGTGTAAACATATACGCATATCATATATATATAATATTTATACACGGAACATAGTTATCCATACAACAATTGATAAACAACGATACTATATAAAGTTTTCTGTTATAGATCCTTGGAGGATCTGCCAATAGTGGACGGATCTGTTCTTTAAAACCATTTTGTAAAATGTTCTTTTTTCTTATTTCTTTTAAAATCTGTTTAAAAATTTGATACAAATGATTGATTTTGCGTTTAGTGTCAGTAATGTATATACGTATAGGCACATTCTTTGATCCGTTAAAACAAGCAGTCGCATAAATCTCCAACTAAACATCTAATATTAATCTCTATTCTATGTTACGGTCAAGCGATATCCTCCCGTTTCTCGCCTACGTTTTATTAATTGCACTTGGAATCTAGGTGAAAATGCTCACGCTATGCTATTCGCGTTGTTCGCTCACAAATAATCCTCACAAACGAACAACCAAGTCTGTTGCTCTATTGAACTCGACCATTTGAAAAAATGACACCTGTTCAACTATTACATGTAAATATTATGTTCATCGGACGTTCTGTGTCATGGTGCCTATGAAATACATTCCAACATCCTCTCCATTGCTATCCATGTACAATCCTTCCTTCTCCGTTAAAACTCATTGCTACAGCTTGTTTGAAATTCGGTGCTTACTCGGTGTCACACATGTAACTCCTCTAAATACCACAAAACACATTCAGTGATTCCTTAAAAACTAGTCAACGATTAAAGACAATGGAAAGCATTATTCTTCAACGTGGCTCCTCGTTCTATAGCACATCTCGAAACAATTCCTCGTTCACAAACAACATTCAACGGCTAATTTCAAATTCGTCAATTACTAAAAAACAATGGACAGCACGTTACTACCGACACACACACATCAAAACACACTCGAATTCGATCTTATCTACTACAACAAAAAAGAAAAAGACAGAAAAATCTCTTCAATCTTCGTCGAAACTTCTTCCACAGAGATTTGTCTCTTCTCTGTTCGTCGTTGGTTCTTCGATCAGGCATTCTCCAGAGTTCTCGATAGGCTGAGAAGGCACTTGTTTGTTGTTCCGGCGATGGAAAAAAAGGTCCACGGTACAGAATGAAAGGTGAACGCGAGAAGATGGCGAGGAATCTTCGTGGGTGCTCGCCATGGTGCACCATGAGACGACACGGCTTGGAAAACAGCAGCCGCCGACTCGCATCATCTCTCCCGTCGTTTTTTCGCCCGACATCGACTGATTGCGTCGCGACGCGGCGCGTTCACGAGCTCAGAAGCTGCCGCACTCGCGCAGCACGCGATTTCCAAGCGGCATCGGCGGACGGAAGTTGTTGATTACCTGCAACAAGCGGCACAGAGGCGCCGGAATTAGGAAACGAGGCCGTGATTCCGCCGATCTGAAATTCATTCTCTAAAACACGGCCGGACGTCGGGAACGGTTAAAAATAAAAAAAAGGAGAGAGTGAGAGTGGGAAAGGGTTGTACGACGCGTGTCAACGGGTTGGAGGTGAAGGAGGGCAGGTGTACGGGGGAGATTAATCGAGTCGAGAGGTGTCTGATGGGTGTTTCGTTCCGCCTTCGTTGATGGCGAATGCAGATTTGTTGATAAGTTTCTTTGAAAGGGGGATATTAATGAAATATTGCGGATTTGATATGTAGGGGAATTTAGGTTGTTGAACTTTTCATATGTGTCTCATGATTGTATAAATTATTGAATGGAGAAGTTTGAACTTTTTTAAAGAGGGATGTTAGTGAAATATTGGAAAATTGGGGAATTGAAAAATTTAGCTTATTGCACTTTGGATCATTTTTGGAAGATTGGATTCTTGGATAAATTATAGAATTTGGAAACTTGGGTAATTGAAAAATTTAGCTTATTGCACTTTGGATCATTTTTGGAAGATTGGATTCTTGGATAAATTATAGAATTGGAGAATTTTTATTTTTTTAAAGGGAGCTGTTAGTGAAGTATTGGAAAATTTAGCTTATTGAACTTTGGATCATTTTTGGAAGATTGAATTTTTGGATAAATTATAGAATTGGAGAATTTTTATTTTTTTAAAGGGAGCTGTTAGTGAAATATTGAAAAATTTAGCTTACTCAATTTTGGATCATTTTTGGAAGATTGGATTCTTGGATAAATTATAGAATTGGAGAATTTTTATTTTTTTAAAGGGAGCTGTTAGTGAAATATTGAAAAATTTAGCTTACTCAATTTTGTATCATTTTTGGAAGATTGGATTCTTGGATAAATTATAGAATTGGAGAATTTTTATTTTTTTAAAGGGAGCTGTTAGTGAAATATTGGAAAATTTAGCTTATTGAACTTTGGATCATTTTTGGAAGATTGAATTCTGGAATAAATTATGGAATTGGGAAGTTTGAATTTGATTGAAAGAGGGATCTTAATAAAATACTGAAAACTCAGCTTACTGTAAATTTCGAAAAATGACAGAATTGGGAAGTTGAAATTTTTCGAAAAAGCGATCTTAGTGTAATATCGAAAACCTAAATAATAAAAATTTCAGGCTACTAAACCTTCCCCAATTTTCAATCAATCATAGTCTCAAATAGACTCTCAAATCAGGAAATCCACAAATCCGCAGAAACCACAAACGTTTCACCGAACTTTCGATCATTCATCTCCCACGAATTTGCAATTCTAATCAACGTTAACATCAATATACACTCACTGCCCCATGATTCTCATGACAGGGGCACTCTTCACCGCGGGAGAATTTCCGCAGATTGCGGAAGATGTTCAGCTGATGATGAGAAACCTCGATGCACTTCTTGAACAGGATCCATGTAACGCTCTCGTTACACGGCGGCGTAGTTAACGATCCCAGATACGTCCAATAACCATTATCATCTGCAACGATCCGCCAGAGGAACAATATAATAAACCTTAATTAACAAAATGAAATATTAGAGAACAGAAAGAAATCATCAACAAGGTTTTCGAAACGATCAAAAGTGGCAGGACGATAAACGACAGAAACAGCGAATGGTAGAGAAAACGCGGTCGCGTGATGGATAGACGCGCGTTTTTACGTCTGACGTTTTGAACCGACTGTTAATTTATTCAATATGCCGAATGAAGAACGTGGCAAAAAATTATTGCGTAACTTCATTAACGTAACGTAATTACGTGGTCGCGAGAAATTGCTTATTGAAATGGCGCGTCAGATTTCCATCGTATGCAATCCAAGACAATCGTTCGGAATATTAACCCTTTGGGGACGACAGACTCGTGTATGGGTTCACAAAACTCTATGAACGCGACCAATAAACTCGTATATTTTTAAGTAATAAGAACAGTTTGAGTGACCGTGAACTAATGGCGCTATATCCGAGGAAAATCCAATTCTGATATAATTTAATTTAAAAAGAAGAAGAAAAAAAACTGAAGCAGTGATCTAATTATGTGTTACAAAGTAATCAGTACTTCGAAATGACACGTAATCCTCCGTCCGCAAAGGTTTAAAGGTATCCCAATTTGCCGGAGAATCGCGAGGTAAACAAATTTCCGCGCAAATCGATCAATTTTAAGAGAATCTTCCAGGTAAAGGACATTTCGTGTCTGCTTCACGATTCTCAATTCTCTTTGTGCGGCGACAATCGCGTGGAATAAACGATACCGAGGGTTTTCAAGGATTCAACGGACGCGGCTCGACGAGGAAATGAAAATTTCAAAGGTGTCCTCGAGTGTACGATAGGCTAGAGGAAAACAAGTTGTTCGTTTGGTAAGTCGAGTTTGATTTTCTAATTGGATAATAGGTGGAACGTTCGATTGGAAATGGTAAAGAACGACATTTCCAGGAGACACTTACCAGGAAGGAGTTTGCTGGGATCGATTTGTTCCCTGATTTCTACGACTTCGTTCTTGTGCGACACGTATGGCAACAGACGAGCTATTTTCTCCATTTCCACGTGAGTTTTGCCCACCTGAAATCAATGGATTGCACGATACTTTTGTTATTAGGATCGCTGTATTGCAATCTTATTACGTATTCAAGCATGATATTTCATAACGCGGAAAAAAATTGTATATTTCTGCATATTTTTGCAATTTCAGATGAGTGGCAAAAAGAGCGACGAGCGACTTTTTCACTGTTTCGAAAAATTACATTTTTTACGAGACAGCTATTTTAATTTTATTTACGACGACTTCTTTGTGCGACTTTTTAACACTTTTCAAGGACCGCTGTTTTTCTGCGAGACCATTTTCATTAGTTTTTACGAGGAAATTACTTTGCAAGATCTTTCCGACGATTTTCAAAGACGATAATTCTTTTATTATTGTTCACGACTTTCTGTCGGTTTTTAAAGATGACAATCAGTTTATAAGACTCTTTTCGTTCCTTTCTACGACGAAATGTTGTTTGCAAGATCTTTTCAACAATTTTCAAGGACTACAATTCTTTTACAAAGTCTCTTTTCTTATTTTACACGATGACAATTTCGTTGCAAGATCATTTTCGTCTCTTTTAACCGTAAAATGTTGTTTGCGAGATCTTAACAATTTTCAAGGACCAGAATTTTTCTATAAAGCCTCTTTTTAATATTAGGTGTGCAAATTAATTTGCTACCCTTTCTCGCAAACTTCAATACTTATTTAGAAAAAAATCGGACGACTTTTTTCTATTTGTCAGGCAACTCACAAATTCCCTATCCGAAAGAGTATAACAGTTTTAAATCGACAAAGTCGTCAAGACTTCGTGAAAAAGGTATCGAATTAATTCGCACACCTAATATATATTTAAAATATACAAATAATATTCTTTAATACTAAAAATTCGTCTGCACGATTTATTAGTCACTCTCAAAGATGCCCCACTTTCTAATCTCCCTCAGAAGTAAAAGATCCTTAAGATATCCTTCTCAACGCAACAAGGAAATAGGCAAGTGTTCCGCGAAGTAAGTAAACAAGCTCGAAAGAAAGAGCAAATTATCAGTATACCGGTCAGCTTATCGATAATCGCTCAATCGACGGTTCGATCGTCGCCTTCCTGTCTCTCGACATCGAACACGGCGACTTTCGAAGACGGCGCCTGTGAAAACGCCACCCGTTCTACATGCGACATTTCTCGTAATCGGTATTAACAACCCGCGTTATCTAACGATCGTCGAACGTTCGCCTCAACGACGATAAGCACACGTAAACTAAGATCTGTCCAAGCTGCTAATACGCATCCAGCAAATGGAATCGACGATGTTCCCTTTCTCGTGCAAACAACGTGTCATCCTAATCGCGATGAAACAGTGTTTCCATTATTTTTCCGCGGTGTTTCGCGTTACCGTGTTCAATTTACCAGGTAAAGAGTATCGTTACGTTCGTGAAATTACGCGAAAACCTAACGATACGCGGTTTCTTAATCTTCCAGTAGAAACCTGGCGATTATGATCAATTATAGACTCGAGGTAGAAAAAAATAGAACGCGGTAAAGTAGCAGGTAAAGTGTTCTTATACAGCCCGAGGGAAAATACGTCGATTACTATGGTCAAATTTCGAACAAACTACGGTGCGCATGATCGATGAAATAATTCCATAGATCGTCGTGAAATTGGACGAAAATTCACGACAGACCGCGAGGTTCGATGAAAATACACAGTCTATTGCACAATTCCACTTTTCCAATTGCTTCATGGTTTGCTCGGCGCTCTAATCGCGGTTATGCAATCGGTGCGCGTGGTTTTTATGGGAAAATGATTCAAATATTCTCTTCACGGGACAATTTTACCATCGCTGAAACGGCTGATTTCGAATTACCTGCCGCAATTTTGCTTGAAATTCTACTCGTTCGATCTTAACCATCGTTGAATCTTTGTTCGAAGGGATCGTTTCGAAATCGTCGTTATCATAATCCGACGTTGTAATCTGAATCGCGTGATTGAAATTGCACGAGGAAAATGTGGAAAATCATCGGAAACGGCGATGTCGAGGGAGAGAGAGAGAAGCGGCGTGCGGTGATTTTTCATACGTCCTTGGCGAGCAATGATGTCAAAGCGACAAAAAGGGAATTTCACTACGCCTTCGGAACGATCGGGATAATGATGCACGGTTGAAGCACGCTTATGCAACGTGGCATCATCGAAACGATGATGAAGAGAAGAGAAACGGCGGTGTCACTGTTACGGATTCTGCTTACAGAAGCTTACCGGCTTATGTAAAAGCTCAGACAACTATAAATATGCTCGTATCGGTGTGATGCACCCGTAGAAATTGCATAAATAGCGGATAAATGCATTAGGATAGGTGGAATCTTCTATTGCGGCTTCGAGAGCCTTGAAATTGTCGTCACTGATATCTCGAAACCTGCTTGCCAAGGCAATTCTGACCGAGGTGAAAGATTATCGTCGTTTAAGGTTGAATAAACTTTAATTTTCGCTGTAATTTGTGTTTTAGTGATTTTTTAAGCTTTCTGTAAGTTCAGAAAGCTGAGAAAAGAGAGAAATGACTTTAGCGACCTCGAGGAGTGAATTAATTCTGCTCAGACTATAGAAGCTATCCTTATGAAGGATTAATATCGCTTAAGATGGGATAAACAAGTTTAATTTTCACTGTAACTTCAATTTTCCTTGATATTTAATATTTTTGCAGCCTCAGAAAGCAAAGAAAAGAGAGAAATGACTTTATAGCGAGAGAAATGACTTCAGCGACCTCGAGAAGTGAATTAATTCCGCTCAGACTATAGAAGTTATCCTTATGCAAGATTAACATCTCTTAAGGTGGAACAAACAGGTTTATTGTTCACTGTGATTTACATTTTCGAGACGATTTCAATCTTCTGTTGCCTCAGAAGGTAAAGAATAGAGAATAAACAAGTTTAATTTTCACTGTAACTTCAATTTTCCTTGATATTTAATATTTTTGCAGCCTCAGAAAGCAAAGAGAAGAGAATAAAAATGATGTAGCGAGAGAAATGACTTCAGCGACCTCGAGAAGTGAATTAATTCCGCTCAGACTATAGAAGTTATCCTTATGCAAGATTAACATCTCTTAAGGTGGAACAAACAGGTTTATTGTTCACTGTGATTTACATTTTCGAGACGATTTCAATCTTCTGTTGCCTCAGAAGGTAAAGAATAGAGAATAAAAATAAAGATCACTGTAATAACCTTGAGAATCGAATTAATTCTGACGAGACTGTACAAGTCACTTTCATTCTCGTAACCCTGTGACTTCATCCTGCTGTAGCGGGAGGGAATAACGCCAATGACCTGTTAGAATACAAATTTTCACTTCACGCTGCAATAACTGTTTGTGTCAAAACACAAAACACCTAGAATCCTGAATGCGGTGAAACCGGCGTTCAACAAGCCGCAACGGATCCCGCAATTTCAACGTTAGCTTCATTAACTAATTACACCTTTAGCCGTGTATAACTATACCCGTAAGTGTCTGCCTAGTTATCACGCATTACACCTGCTCTCGATTCTCGTTAATCCTATTATCGACAATTCAACTCGATATATCGATTGCTTATTACACACTTTTCGTTCTCTGTTTTACGAGAATCATATTTGGTATAAATAACATATTTATAATGTTCGAAATTTTTCTTATGGAAATAGTGTGTCACACACACAGAGGTATAGTCGATCACTGGAGTTTCCAAAATTTTTCACATGATTGCACTAATTAAATAAAAGTTCGGTTTCATCTCTGAGACAAAAGTGATCTAAAATTAAGAATTAAAGTCATCGCGATAATAAGGATACCTCGAAGTGCAGAAAATATATTTCACTTCCTTTAAGTGCATATTCAAAGACTAGAGCTCCCAAAATTTCTCACATAACTATACTAATGAAATAAAAATTCCAAATTCGCCTCTGAGACGAAAGTGATCTTAAATTCAGTTTCGTCTCTGAGACAAAAGAGATCTAAAATTAAGAATTAAAGTCATCGCGATAATAAGGATACCTCGAAGTGCAGAAAATATATTTCACTTCCTCCAACTATACTCGAAACATTGAAAATTTCAAAATTCTTCACACCCTTCTGATAACGAAATCAAAATTCAAAATTCGTCTCCGAGACGAAAGTGACCTACAGTTAAGGACAGAATCAACGACAACAGGAAGGATACCACGAGCTGTATAAAACGGTACAGTGGACAGAATGATTACCAACCTTGAGGAACACTCCGAGAACCGCAAGGCCATCGGACGCTTTTGCAGCTTCAGCGAAGGTGTTGTATTTGCTGGTGTTCCAGTGCACCAGATGTAGCTGAAAAACATGAAAACAATACTGTTTAAATGTCTGACGTCACGTGTAAAATTACCGCGCAGTTGAAACAACACTGTCGTCACACGTTTCAGCCCAAGGTGTTATCATAATCGATCGCGAGTTACGAAACGGATTGGTAAAATGAACCGGGGAAAAGAATGATCGATCTTCTGGAAGATTTTCAAGAGAATCTGTTGGAAAGAAGGGGCAAACTGGTCTCTCTTCTTGGCAAATTGAATATTTTCCTCGTGTCGCTTTGCATCGTGAGCACAACGGTCTGCCAGACTCGATGAATATTAATGACCGTAGAGCTACTACTACTCCTGAGGATCGATCATTGAAGTGGTCATGCGATCAACGAAGAAAGCTACCATCTCACGTTTCATGAATCATTTCAGCCTCCTCCGTACGAGACACCTGTTTAAGAAAACTCGTGACACGCTACCTCAGATATGATAATTCTCCGTTAGATAAGGGATTCCAGAAATTTTTGGACGAATTTATTTGACAGATAGTTTAGAGATAATCTTGTGTCGCGGTAACTGACGTATCCGGTGATAAGGCGTTGCTAAATATTTGATCAGCGTGACGACGCTTTGGTTGGGTTAACGTTTAAAGAAAATTCGCCTCCATGCTTGAATCGCGAAATAACGTTACTCGATAGTTGCATGCTATTTTTAAAGTGTCCTCTATCTTGCAGTTGGTGTTGAACAAATTTTTTATTTTTTCTTTCGTTCGTTTTAATTTATGCCTCGTTTCAGAGTCGGTACAAGGAAGTGCGTTCCTTTGAGCTCGCGGCAAGTGCATCGGAAAGGAGTACGTGAAGCAGCGCGAACAAACGCTAGGCCGAAAGCGAATATAATAGTTTACGATCGTCGGGGAATGCAAACGTAACCTTTTAACACGGACGCGACGCGTGTTTTTCCCTCTGTGCAATTAATCATGAAAGAACTTTTCCGTTGCGCAACCCGCCGCCGTCGCCGATTCATTCAGGCACACATTTCTCACGGAGTTTAGGCTCGCGAAGTTTGAACACATTTCCTTACGTAATTCGATTACGATTTCCATACAGAAAACACCACGGTCAATTAGCATAATTCTCCGCCGGCGAAACAGAACAGCGCGAGAGACAGACGCGAATGGTAACAATACGTACGATCGGTTCTTTTCGTGTAATTTCTCCACGTGTCGGCGATAAATGAAATGATTTTTTTTTTTGCGGAAAGTTCCGAGAAGAAATTGGATCTTTCTACCGGAGAGAAAAAGTTTAACAATCGTAATAAACGTTTTTTCGCATTTTGTTAATGAGAAACTGCTCTCTTGTGGACTGTTTTAATGACACGACGTTAGAGAAATATCTAATTGTTTTCCAAGCGATAAATCATTAAGGAATCGTGAAAAATAGTGTTTGAAATTCTGTCGCTAAGAAGATGCTCTTTTTGAGCAATCTAAATCAATTTCAGTTTTCACTTCCAGCAATGGAAATCAATTTCCATTTCCAATTTTCAGCAATGGAGACCAATTTTAATTCTCACTTACAGCAACGGAAATGAATTTAAACTTTCACTTCCAGCAATGGAAATAAATTTCAATTTTCACTTCTAGCTCTGGAAACGAATTTCAATGTTCACTTCCAGCAATGGAAACGAATTTCAATGTTCACTTCCAGCAATGGAAACGATTTTCAATGTTCACTTCCAGCAATGGAAGTGAATTTCAATGTTCACTTCCAGCAATGGAAGTGAATTTCAATGTTCACTTCCAGCAATGGAAACGAATTTCAATTTTCACTTCCAGCAATGGAAATGAATTTCAATTTTCCAATTTCGGCAATGGAGAACACTGTCTTACCACAATACCACGTACATTATTACAATGCCTAATTATTCTCTGAGAAGTGAATAATGATTAAAAAATGGTAAAAAATACAATTGATTCCTTTAAGCATTCATCGGCTGGGAAACCGCTTTTTGCTGGTATCTTTCAGCGAGCCACGGACGAAGAAGTGCACGCGTTCGAAGAAGGCCGCGACAACCGTAAGAAGTTCGTACGAATGATTGTTACGCGGATCATGCCCTGCGACAGTGAATTATTAACGATCCGCTACGAAGCCGGCGGGAATGTTAGAGAGGCAATGGCTAATCGCCGATCCCACGTGCGTCCTTTTAAAGTCGTTTACTAGACGGCCTCTTCGCGTTTCAGCCGCGAGTGGAATCACGAATGACAGTTCGTGCCCTGCTGTTTCGCGTGAAATCCTCAAACGCCGAAACCAATTTATTCCGGTGTCTATTTATACCCGTGCCGGACAGCGGGATCTTTTTAAGCGAAAGCATAAGTTGCCAGATGAAATGCGTAAATAAATATGTCAGCGTTCACTTGCCGGTTTAAAGGGAGGGAGAGTGTGTATTTGTGGATGGAGTTTAGCGGTTTTAACTTGGAACCTGATGATTGTTGAAGGATACCCTTTGTTTGAAGTAAGTTTTATTTAGATACCCTCTGTATAGTTCAGTTGGTAATTTGTTTTATTCTTGTCACGTTAAATTAATCAAAAATATCGTTGGTATAATTTTAGGACGTTCCTTTTTTTTTTTTTGGAAAACACTTTCTTCCACTGTTTCGAGCGATTTTTTAAAATGTCTGTTTGGACTGTTTGAAAAGATGGAAGATTTTGAAAGTGGAGACACGATGTTATAGAAATTTCAAGGGAAAAATAATTGAAAATTATTCATTCAACATTCTTCTAACATTTTGAGTGATTTTTAAAAATATTTTCCTAGATTCTCCGGAGAGATGGGAGAAATTGGAAATAGAGAGGAATTGAACACAATGTTGCACTATTTTCAAGAGAAAAATAATTGGAAAATTATTTACATAACATTCCTCCAACATTTTCAATGACTGTTCTAAATATTCGCTTCGATCATTCAGAGAGATGGAAGATGCAATTTCCCAGAAATTTGCACAAATTTCACAATAATTATCACTAACATATACCAACCTCTCCAGCAAAGGCCTGTCCATTCACAGTGTGCTCCGATCCTCTAGAATCGCTGCATCCCCAGTGACAGTGATACTGTTCCAGCTTGTACACATCGTCCATCAACGGTCCTCCACTCAAAACTGCAAAATAACATTGCAAAAATATCCCATGAAATCTATCCTGTATCGTCTGTGAGAACATAAATTCTCTTCGATAGATTCTAAGCACAACTTCCCTTCTTTTATCTCTTCCGAAAATACAACTCGCTGACTTTTGAACGACACTGACGTCAACTCGTAAAAGAACCCTAATTTTAGTCACGACGGATCTCGCGCTATACAGATTTCCATTCCTACCACGACTTTACACAGGGCGAACGCGGTCCGTTTGAGCGAGTTCAATTACAGGATACGCTTGATTAGCCGAATTAGGGGAATGATACAGGGGCCGCGAGGAGATTAGCGACGAGTATAGCCGAGGCTCGACTTGTTCTGCGTGTCCACGCGGATAGAGAAACCTCGCACGCGTCATAATGCAAAGGTTAAGAAAGATTTACAGCGGACAGGTCAAAGATGGCGCACGCTTGGATCAATCCTGCCGGAGGGATCATTTTCTCTCAAACTGGTGGAATAAACGCTGTATCTCGTGCAGATTAAAGGTACAGTTAAAATTTTGTCATACTTGCTTTCGTGTCTGAAGATCTCAGCTCAATAGTAGCCTAACCCACAATTTTTGGCGAATCGAGACTTCTGCATAAACTACCTAGTATACAGCAACAAAAAAGAAAAGAAATAAAAATAGTAGGATCTTCGTAAAATACTTTGCAAACGTCGATGATTTCATTCAATGATAAAACAGAACTCGAACCTATAATACATACAATGTAGCACAAATACAAATTCATTTGCTTTTTATCGACTGCAAAGTTCTAACGTCTCTAGGATATTAACGACACTTCTATTTTAGCTTTTTCTAGTATTTATAAATAATGTTACTTTCTCGGAAAGTAGATTAGTTCAGTGGTCTCCTATTTATCTCCGATCAAACTTATAAGGTCGCTATAATATTAGCCTAATTATCCCCCAGTGTCCACTTTTAACGACACCTCTACTTCATCTTTTTCTGATACTCATAGTAATTTACCAAGTAACTGACAAAGTGGTCCGATTGATCGGCACCTTCGATTGCTCCGTTATCAAAAATCAACCATCGAAAGAAACAATAATTGGAACGTTAATGGGTTAAGCTTGCAAAACGAGGAAACTGTCGATCAATCCGTTATCTCGCGTTCGTATCGCCGAAAAGTCCATCGGAATTATCAAAAAGGATCTAATACCGCGTTAATCATAAAAGACACTATCGAACGTTCCCGAAAGGTAAACGAACTTCCACGAGCGACAGGTGCGTCTGTCGTTGGTTTCTCGGTAATTTATCATCATTAACGAAAATGGGCCACGTTGTGCCGCCCTATCGGGCCATCGATTCCCTGAAAATTCACTCGGATTTTCATCGTGCGAACTGTGCCGCCGCGTATGAGCACGCATAATGCGTCACGACACGGCCGTCCTCGTTTCGAGAACACTTCGCGAAGGTAAAAGCCTTCTCGACAGGCACGAAACTGTTATCGAAGCGTTCGAGGAAAACGCCAACGACCACGATCTGCTTTCCAACTCCGTTCCACGACTTTCCTGCCCGCTGCAAACGATCCTGACCTTTCGTTCCATTATTACCGATCCTTATCCCGCGTTTCGAAGAGATATTAGAGAGAGAGAGAGAGAGTGATTGTGATCTAGGTTCGTTGAATAATTGACGAACTGACCACTTCGAGAAGTGGATGAAAATGGACTGAAATGAAACGAGAACGATCTCGATCTGCTTTCGAACTTGTTTCGCTACTTTTCTGTCTATTTGGAGATGATCGTGGCCTTTCCAATTGGAGATGATCCCTATCTTGCAATTTGGAGGAGATTGCGATCTAGCTCTCTTGAATATTTGACGAATTGACCATTTGGAAAAGTGGATAAAAATGAAAGAACGATCTCGATCTGCCTTCGAACTTGTTTCGCTACTTTTCTGTCTATTGGTGATGATCGTGGCCTTTCCAATTGGAGATGATCCCTATCTCGCAATTTGGGAGACATAGTGATCTAACTCTCTTGAATAATTGACGAACTGACCATATGGAAAAGTGGATAGAAATAAAACTCGAACGATCTCGATCTGCGTTCAAGCTTATTTCACTAATTTTCTGTCTATTGGAAATTATGTTTCGACCAATTGTTTCCGATCCCTATCTTGAAATTTGGAAGAGATATCAGGGGAGATACTGATCAAACTCTCTCGAACAGACCATTTCGAAAAATGGATAAAAATGCAGTAGGTCTGTAATTTCGAATTTTGCACTGAAAGAAGCATGGTCGATGACGCCACTCTAATTCTGTCTGGAATATTCAAACACTGTATGTATCTCGAATCCGTATTTCCTCGACTAGAGTTGACACTGTTCTTGCATAACCAAACATTCACCTAACAAATCTACATGTACCTATATACTCAACATTCTACCGTATTTACAGAACTCTAATTTTCCTCTGGAACAACTGGTTTCTCCTCTAATCAATCGCAATTAACTCGACCCACTGTTAGCGGTGCAATTTAACAAACAACCTTCCTTAAGAAAATCATTTTTCCTCGGCTGTATAATTCTCGATACCGCACAGATAACAGAGTCGACATCTCTCACACTGTGTTAATCGTCAGAGATCAGTCGCGTAAGACTGTGTTTTATCGTGGAAATCTAGGAGGATAAAGTTTTACAACCGCGAGATTCGCGCTCTCGATGACGAAACGCGAGCTTTTCCTCCCTGACGAGATTCCTGTTAGGCGAACCAGCTCTCACATTGTCGGAAATGGACGATTAGAGGCGCGTTTCGTGGCCCGCGCATGCAACCAATTAGCTTCTGGCCGCGGTTAACGCTGAAATCCACTTCGAACCGCTTCAGATTAAGTCCGTCGCTCTTCACGGACCAATTATTTGGGCCATCCTGATCGAAACAAACCAGTCACCCGTTTATTCTCACCGCGACTGGATCGATCCAGGTTTCCAACTGATTCCACCGGTTTATTAGTTTTTGTGTCATGGATTCTGCTCGTTACATACTCGGTGTGTTGTCGCTAACTTATTTATTAATCAAATTGTCTCCGTGGGATTTGTGCTCGAGCGTAAAGAGAGAGGTTTTATCACGAGTGAAGACACTAACGACTTTGTCATCGATTTATCTATCCTTCCTTCTTATTTACGACTCACTTGCGAATGTACATGCAATCGTAAATAAAATGTTTGACAAGAAGAATCGAGAGGAAGGTGATAAATAAAAAAAAAAAAAAAAATACGAAAAATAGAAAATTCCACCTTTGAGGGGGATTTTCATCCCTTCGATATGGACGATTGGTGATAAGAAAAAATACGCGAGATCTACGTTCCACGTAAGTTTCAACGAGATCGACGTGAAATTTGAAAACAGAAGATTAACGGTGAGAGAATATCTCGAGGATTTTGATTAATCGGATGAAAAATTCCAGAGAAATTTGATTTCTGAGTGGATAACGCTTCTAGAGGATTGAACTTCGAGAGGAAGAGGAATGATTTGAGTCGAGGAGGGTTCCTCCCGCCGAATCTCAATCCGGGGGACATATTTGCATTCCCTGTTGATCTGCAATTCAATGCTAGCGGATCGAAATCGTTCTCACGGCGTGTACCGGGCTTTCAGCTAACGAACGAGTTCTTAGTTTCGCATTTAAATGCACGAACAAGGGCCGCTGCACGACACCGCCGCGTTTCTTAACCCCGAAAGCTCCCTCTCTCTCTCTCTCTTTCCCCTAACGGAGCGATGATAAATAATATTCGCGTTTCAAAGGGATTCGATATCGTTGGATAAGTTCGTTCAACTTCCCATGCTATCGGTTTTATTGGCACTAAAACTGTCGCCGTACAATGAATGCATTGATTATCGTTATCTTCTTCACGTATGCTCTGGTATTTAACTAACCCCTTAAGTGAAATGCAAAATCGATCATCGAATGCAGAAGTTGTGTCTTAACACTTTGGAAAATGTCCCCTTTTGTATATTTGGAAAAAGTTCATTTTTGTATATTTCTAAGGTTTCAGAATGCGTTCTCGAGTTTAATTTATCGTTTATTTTAAATTTTTTAAAGCGGAAATGTAGAAGTCTTCGTTTGTTTTTAATTTTTAAACGTGGAAATGTAGGAGTCTTCGTTTCTCTTCAATGATTTAAAGTGGAAATGTAGGAGTCTTCGTTACTTTTCAATGTTTTAAAGTGGAAATGTAGGAGTCTTCGTACACTTTTTAAATTTTAAACGTGGAAATCTAGGAGTCTTCGTTTCTCTTCAATGTTTTAAAGTGGAAATGTAGGAGTCTTCGTTTCTTTTTAATTTTTAAACGTGGAAATGTAGGAGTCTTCGTTTCTCTTCAATGTTTGAAAGTGGAAATGTAGGAGTCATCGTTACTTTTCAATGTTTTAAAGTGGAAATGTAGGAGTCTTCGTTACTTTTTAAATTTTAAACGTGGAAATGTAGGAGTCTTCGTTTCTCTTCAATGTTTTAAAGTGGAAATGTAGGAGTCTTCGTTACTTTTCAATGTTTTCAAGTGGAAATGTAGGAGTCTTCGTTACTTTTCAATTTTTTAAAGTGGAAATGTAGGAGTCATCCTTTCTTTTTCATTTTTAAATGTGGAAATGTAGGAGTCTTCATTTCTCCTCAATTACTTAAAGTGGAAATGTAGGAGTCTTCGTTTCTTTTCAATTTCTCACAGTTGAAATGTAAAATTCTTCATTTCCTTTCAATTTCTCAAAGTTGAAATGTAGAATTCTTCATTTCCTTTCAATTTCTCTAAGTAGAAATGTAAGTCCTCATTTCTGTTCAATTTCTCTAAGTTTAAATTAAAAATTTTGAATTCTAGTTTTTATTATCCTAGAATAATCATTAGTGAACATTGTCCCTTTCGATTTTTCCCATTTTTTAACTCACCCTAACTCACACACGCTATCTCTGCCACTACGATTCATCTCCACAATAAATACCAACGAATAGCAATAATCCTCCAACTTTTCATCTTCAAAAAATCCCTACTTTCGCAGATTACTAGGCCAAAGTCTTTAATTATTCCAACACCGGCACGATAAGCCGCTGGTTCAACGTAGAAAACGAAAATCGACTTACATGTGCCTTCGCCATCGGTGTCCATCCGCCAGCAATAACCGGGATTAACGAGCATCCGGGAAGCGGTCGCCGGATACTTCCAACGCAGGGGTTTGCTACTCAGAGCTTCATGATCAGATTCTACCCGATTGGTCTCGATATTTACCGGGCTTTGCCTCGATCCTGCCGCCATTGGAAACTTCGACATCCACGTGCTTGGTCCTGCAATCACGAAAAACAATTTTCTCACCTCTTGTCCATCTTAATTTTCGATCGACGATAAAACCGTGTCGACGATGATCGATGTTCACACTTAAAAGGAAAGAAACTGTATCTCACAGATAATCTGTTCGAAATTTCGCGCAACTCGTTGTTTAAACGAAACGCGAAATCGTTGAAATATAAGAACGAATTTCATTGGTCAGTAATTTTCCACTGTTTTTGTAATTTTACGGCAGGTTAGGTTCGGATTGATAAAGTTGCGATTAGATAAAGCGTCGAGCGTGCGTTAATTAGTTAATTCGTTTTATCCATGTTTGTTCAGATTTCGTTTAGGTTGGGGTTATTTTCGTGGCAGACTGTCTAGCTTTTTCACTCGTATCTTAGATAAACAAGGTTAGTAATCATTTAATAGAAAATATATGGCACATAGCTTTTTCTTTTTTTTTCTTTTCATATATCCTTGTTATTTTCCATTTAAAGAGATTAAGATATCAGTTATCGAGGAAAAAAAGTAGAAAATAAGCGCGATAATCTGAAAAGAATCTGCATCGAAATTTCGAGAGATTAAACAAAGCTCGAAGTTCACACTTAGAAACTTAACAAACAAGAAACAAAGGAAGTCGTTTGTCACGCTCTAATCTTTGCCATTTCACGCCTTTTTTGCCCCAGCATTTCCATGCAACAGATAGCAACAAATAGGCTAATTCTGTACATATTCACAGGACAGATCTCGTTTTCGTGATATTGAAACCAGTCAGAGCGTGACGAGTGGTTAATGATATTAGAATTATCAAATGTTATGAATATTTAACGATACGATTTTCCAGGATACGTTACGCTAAACACACCGAGAAAACCATAAAGATACCAATGATAACGTCGAGACCAGTTACCTACACACGGTTGTAAAAGTCTGAAGAGAATCTTGCATAAAATCGATTTCCAGAAACGATTTAAAATAAAAACTCGACCTATTCGAACGACAAGAATTTACCAATAGAAATCGAGCTAAAAGTTGCCGGAACAACGACAGAAAGCGAACGTGAAACGCGCCGAAAAAGATAGTGCGCGGACGATAATAAAGGTTTAATCGCGCACATTGAAGCACGATTTTGCAATTGAACCGCAGATAACGATCGAGACGTCGGTAAACGTTTCGAAAGTTGTTGCCCGATGTTTGCACGATTTTTCACCTGTAACACACCGCAATTAGATTTATCGTTGAGCAAACAGTATTCGAATTGCAATAATTTATTAAACGGTTAAAGATAGCTCGCTTTCCTCTCCTTTCACGATAACAATTTACAAACGAAACACCAGCGATTTCCTCCAGGGAAATAAACAACGTTTCGTTGATAATTTAACGGACAGGAAAGCTGCGATGATAATGGCGCGTGGAGTGCACGCGTAGATTATGCAACAGCTAACATGGTAAAACAGCGAATATTGATACCGATAATCGGGATAAATTATCGGCTGATTTAAGAAGCTCGTTATCACGAAGACATGCGTCACGTGCCGCGGCATAAAATTTTATTTATCTCGCCACGCGATTCCGATATTGTTCTCGATAAGGTCACGTTTCGAATGTATCGCAGCCTTCGATTGCGTGTAATGGAACGGCGATGGAATGAATTACACATTTTTTTGAATATATTTTTGTCACTGATCGGTGAGATACGAATTCTTGAAATTGTAATTAAAATGTAGAATGCAAGGTTTATGGTAGAAATGACTATATCTAGCGAGACACTGTTAAAACACCGAATGTTTGAAGTGGTGAAAATTATGATAGAATTTGGAATTTAACTATTTTTTTTTTTAACCCCTTAACCTATGATTTCTTTTCTGACTGCGCATCTAAGCGTCAGCCATTTTCTGCTTTAGTACTGTATCGGGTAACAAAAACTGATCTGTCACAGATTAATTACAGTTAGCAATCCTGAGTCGTATAAATTCAAACGAAAATTAGGATTACAATTAATTTTTCTTACTGATACAACTACTTTTCTCGCATCTTCGCCAGAATCTCTGCCACGAGTCTGACAAGTTGTCATATGTCAAGGGGTTAATCAAATTTTGAAGGATCGATGAAAAATTTTGTTCGTTTCGTTCAATTTTTCAGTGTATCACAGTTTCAACGGCGACGAGTGGTCAACATTTGGTCACAATTAGCATGCGGTCGAACAGCAGATAGACGAGAGCGATTAAATGAAGATCATCTTGGAAGATGGATAGGTCAAGGAGGATTCCTTCGTACTCAAGATCATGTGCTCTTACACCACGATACTTTTATCTATAGATTTAGCAATGACTAGAACAGAAAAGGGGTTCAAGTACTGCTAAAGAGACCAAGCAAATAGGCGAAAAATGATCTAAATTTCTCTTAGAAACTTCGCGTGATTTTCACTTGGCAAAATTTATGTTCAATTAATCAAAGTTTGTCGCTACTCGTGACTATTACGGAATCTATTCGCATTACTGCGCGTTTCCGTTTGTTTGCTGCTACAGCGTTAAATAATCACAGCTATCTTTAGTTAACAAACAAACTTTATTTGATTATGCTGGATCGTAAGTTTGTCAAAATGTTTTTGATAGGTGCTTCAAGGCGAACGACGAAGACGATGTTTGTACATCGAAAATGTTCATCGTTCGTTGCATTCTCCCCGTCTCGCCCCTGTCACGCGAAAAAACGCAGCTGTTCCGCGCAGAGACAATCCTTTATCTCACGTTAGATTCCCGCGTGGTCCACAGCTGCGGAGCAGCACGTGATGATGACATAATACGCGCGCGACGTAACCGCGAACTCGCGGAACTTATGCCCGGAACTCGCGATATTGTCGCACGCCATTAATTCGCCAAGTGCCTCTTACGATTCGATCGACCGTGTCTCGTCTGCTCTGTATATTATCGAAAAATGTTGACGAGAAATTCAGACGAGATTACGAACGCGTTTAACCCCCCCGCTACGAACTATGAAAATGATCACCCATTTACGAAAAGCGTGTATATATGTACGTCTCTTAAAATTGAACACTAATTCACGAAGAGAGTAAATTTAAAAAAATAGAAGGGGCCTTGAAATCTCGGAAAAATTTCCTAACCTAACCTAACCTACAAAGAAATTATTAATGGCGTGTTATTTGTATCATATAAATTTTCTGAATAAAGTGTTTCCGTATCTGTAAGAATAAAGGAGGTACTCCAGGTGAACAGAATTTTCGGAATTGAAAACGAACAATTTGTTGCATTTATTTTTGAAAATTACAAAGGAAATATTGTTGTCGACTGAAAATTAGGAAACACCAGAATGCAGGAGGAATTTAACTATCACGAAATAATTAATTATAATTTTAATAATACCTATCTTTATTTTTAAAGCTTTCGGCGAGGTTAATTGTACAAACTTTACGATATGACCACCCTGTGCATTGTTCCCAGTGTCTAAACACGCTTGAAATTTCTGAAAAATCCCCAAGAATCGTTTCCAAGAAGAGAAGAATATTGCAGTGCCTGAAATAACAAGGCTAATTCGTCATGGCAGAGGTGTTCGACGCGTCTTCCGTCCATCTGAATGCACAACCCAACCCAGCGACTCCCCCTAGCTCGTTGTGGTTTCCATTGATCGCGATCACAGAGAGCTGGCCACGGTTCAAGCAGAAAAATACCGTCTCGAGGTCGCCGAGATCTGTTTGAAGGTTCGTTCAACCTTGCCGAACGAGCCACGAGGCGAGCGTAAACGCCGCAGCGTTTTCATCGCAAGATTGTGGTTTCGCCGGGAATCTCTCCGCGGACCTTGCACTCAGACCTTCGCGGTTCATTTTCACCGTGACGACCCCGCGGGTTTTCAACGCGGCGACGGCGATATTGTCGCACAGCCGGTCGAGGGAATCGCGAAGATGTCCTCAACCAGGAAAATTGAGTTAAGCGACGAGTTTAATTAAGTTGAAGGATTTATGACGCCAATCGAGTATTACTAATGCAATATTCAGCTGGTTAGGTTAGGTTATGTTTTCATATTCTTCGATATTTCGTTTTCTCGAGAAATACATCTTCGTTTTTAGCTTTTTTTTTTTGAAAATAGGAATGATTTGTACTTTTTTCTTAATTTCATGTAAACGCACCTTAAGGAGTTCAGAATCGACGCAGCTTATGGGAGGCTCAACTTTGACAGAATAATAAGTATGACCGTGTGCATAAATGCGAAGCTGGACGTAACTTCTTAATGAATAGGCGTGAGCAATAACACCACGCCTTTTACGTAAAACCGGATGAGAAAAAATGACGAGTCGCGCCTTCCTGCTCCCTTCATTGTGTGCCATATTTGACAGCGCGTCAACTTCGTGCCGAGACTCAGAACCTAACAGGGCTTAATTCAATCAAGCAGTCAATTTACAGACGCGCGTTTTTATGTTTCCACTTGTTACATATCGTTTCCGTAAGAAATTGTGAAAACAAGCTTAAAAGCATTATTCGTTAATTTATTTATGTAATGCTCCATTAATTCATTAACTTTGCAATGAAAATCAGTTGTTTCGTAACAATGAAAATTACAGATTCTTTCGTACTGATGTGTATAATATCACCAAACTCGATGTATAACTATGTACATTGAGCACATAACCTGTATCTATAACGTGTGAACTCTCTGCTGTCAATAACAAAAATCAATCTTTCAACGATTTGTTTTTATGTATTGACCTTGGAGCAGATACACAGAAAGAAACAACTGGTATTCTGAAACTTCCATTCTCTGCAGATTGTTTACAAACTACTCGATAACTTTTCCACGAAGTTCGCGTCATTTCTTAACTTTGTCGTTTCTCCTATAGTTTCCCGAAACAACCGGTTTTCAATGACCATCTGGCGGTAACAAATAATAAATGACGAAAACTCGGTGATCTATCGCATCATACATTTCGATGAGTCAGTTTCTAAGGTTTGCACCACTGATCGCCGGGTTAACGAGTATCATTAATGGCCGCCCTGCAACCGGCCGCGAGACGGTGTAAATAAAAACGAGAGGTTAGTTGCGTCAACGCGGGAACGTCGACCTCGATCCTTCTGTGGCGAACGAAAATTCCTGTTTGACCCGAATTTCACGGTAACTGTGACGAGAAACGAGACGGGGAGGCAAGAAGGAAGGAGGGAAAAAAAAGCTGCAGTGTGGATTTCAGCAAACGCTTCGGGCTGTCACGAGCGGTAAAAAATGATCGTATCAGGAGACTTCTTTCTCGCCTGGCACACAACGCAACACGTGTCCGCAATTAAAAGCCCGTGGTGAAAAAGTTTTCCCTCGGTGGTACAAGCTGCGTATATCATTTCCGAACGCTATCTTTAATCTCGCTTCTTTAACTTACACACGACCCTCGCGAACTTATCAACCAACCACTTTTCGACTTCAACTTCAGAATTCCCATTTTCCTAATCCTCCTGGGTTTTACGTCGTAAAAAAAAAAAAATTCGCGAGATATAGAACGGTAGATAAGCAACAACGAGATCTTCGAATAGATAATCGATCGAGATAATCGTTCGTTTATTGATTCTTACCGGTAACGAACAAATCGTGACAATTTACGAATTTTTGTTGTAGTAAAGTATTAAATAACAATCGATAATTTGTTGCAACGAACAAACTGCGCCGTTTTCGTGAAAAAAGAACTACTTACTCGAGACGAGGTACGATTACGATTTTTCGATTTCGAGATATCGAACACCCCCTCGAACAATGGCCGCAATGGCGCACTTGTGACCGTGATCGAATGTCCCGCGACAGGCTGGTAAATATTCGAACCGATTGCCATTTCTCGGCCGAATCACTGGCACACGCTCGGAAAGCCAAACGACTTAATCGCCGATCTGCACGCCGGCCAGGAATTTATGCAAATCACGGTATCCGCCAGACTTCGCGATTGCACTCGCGCCGGTTCAAAGATAGCGCTGACAAATTGGCCCCAGATTAAGGGCATTTCGGAGAGGCATGCACGGGTAACCGGGTAAGGCGAAACGAAACTGGGTCTGCGACCCCTACACACGCTTTCGTGTATACGTTTCACTTTGTATCCCCTCCCTCGGTCTGTATATTTGCACTAAAGGTATACACACGTCGATATCGAGCCGGTTTCTTGAATATCGGTATTCAAGCACGCGTTAAGTGGCCAAGTGGTTTCAGCTTAATTTACTCGTTTTCGATTTCAGCCGACAATAACCCGACTGAAACCCAATTCACCCGACATAACCTATAGGCAGACTCCAACGTATTTATTCAATGGAAAAACTACTCGTCCTGGGAACGATCGTTTGTTTTCCTTGGCAGAAGTTTTCAAGCGAAACGATCATCCGTATCTCGTGATTCACGTGAGAAATAAAATTAGAATATACGTTTTCTACAATCCTCCGTGGTGATAGATTTTTCGCTGTAAATATTTACCGTCGCGAGCTGCTGCGCCCTAATTTTTCTGCGGACCTATTTACGACGCTTATTCGTTCGATTTGGATCACGTCGAGACGCGTTACACCACGCCCGCACCACGTTGCGCTCACAGTGCGTTTAATTATTCATTACACATCACGCTGGGATGTGTGCTGTTCTCTATAGACGTACAATCGCGTGTATACGGTTGATTCAATAGGGCCATGTCATATTTCAAGATCCAATTACATCGGTAATAACAATCGTATTACATCCTTCCCTAATTTTCCTCGAACAGCTTACGCTCATGGCCCCTTCGATTTCAATTCGCGATGTTTAACCCCTTAACGGTTTAATGTGACTCAGATACACTTGTAGCAATATGTATACCGAACGTAATATACTCTAAAATTTCATCTTCCATTATTGGTAGCAGAAGAGTCAGTAAAATACACTTCATATTGCCCAGGTTAAAAGGCAATAAAATTGCAACAACAATTACTACGAGTTTTATATATAAAAAAAAAGGTACACAATTTTTAGACTTTACTTCGTCACTTTTAATACACTGTTAAAGGGTTAACTACAACGTACGCCAAAACTCGTACACAACACGTGCGTGTTTCTGCCTCGTTACCGGCGTACAACGTGCTCTCTATTCTCGCATTATATTTACGTGTCTACGGCCAGCGCACCGTACGACGTTTCAACGCGGTCTATACACGTTTGAGGTTATCCCGCTCGTAGCTGTGTATGTATATACGAAGTGTACGCGCGACTCTCGACTCACGCTGCACCCAGGCAAGAGCAACACACAGAGGCGCCTGTGCTGGCCAGGAGAACAGGTGCATCGGCCTGAAGTACGACGAGGAAAATTATTGATTTTCGTTTACCCACGGAGCTGGTGGTGTCCCGTGCTAGCATGGCGAATGCAACGCCGTCCCTTGGCACGACTAGGACGCCCTGCATTCGAAGACAATGGCCTTAGGTCAGTGAGCCTGGTGCCATCGTGACACCGTGAAAATCGAACGCCAGACTTTAATGCAAGTCGAATCTTATCGCCCGTGGAACAGTAACCCTGTTCCTTTTAATTCACTAGGTTTCAAGTTCGAACAAACGAGGTCGATGGAGATATTTAGAGCAATCGATCGACGATCGGTCTTTTTTTAGACGATACACTGTATTCGTATAGGTTATGTTTGCGAAATAAAAAAAAAATTGTAATCTATTTCTCTTGTATTCATATTTCGAAACGATTTTGTGTTGTGAATTATTTGAAAAGCTACAGTACGAAATTAAACGGTTAAAGTTCGCGTACCGTAGTTTTTCACTTGAGAATCTTTCGATGCTTTCAGATTTATTTTCGTTGCAGCGTTTAATGGAAACTGTATGAGAATGAAGTGCATCTCGAATAGACGTTATGACGAAAGTGATTCATCGATACTATCGATACACTGACGAAAATCGATATTCAAAATGGAGGACATCTCCAAATTGGAACAATGTCATTATCTCAAATTTACGAACACTGATTTTTATTTGATATTCATATTGCCCGAATTATGCTGTAAATTGTTTATTGCTAAGGGATTAAGACAGGAATGTCAACTGATATCATCATGTTTAATCACTGTGATTCACAAATACGCAATTTTTCGTAAATGTACGGAATATTCTTAGTTGGCGTGTTTTGCCATTATCACTGACGTTCATATCGAGACGCAATCATTTTTTTTTTTAAGATAAAAGATGAGGTATTGCTTGGAACAATACTTGTTAAAAAAAAAAGATGAAAAAATTCGAACAATGGGACAATCGCACATCGGTGCAGTTACGAAATAATAATGATAAAAAAAATTGTATAAGAGTATTGAGAGATAAACAGATAAAATTCTTGCTGGAAATGAAATACCGACTAATTTCTCCGAACTCCTTTTCGTAATATCCTATCTTTTTCTAATTTCCTTTTTAAGAATATCGAATTAAAACTGACGTAGCACAGGTCATTTTCTTACTATACATCTATTTTCTTTATCTGTTTCACTTAAAAGAACTATTTTTACAATAGTGCCAAGCGCGTTTTTCTCCGAACGTTGAAAAAAAACTAGAGATTATGTTACACTGTTTTCTTGAGAGGAATGCAAGGCTAATACGCAAAGCTAAATATTTTTAGTCGTCAACCGGAAAAACGGTTCGACAGTGAGCGGTAACAATACGTAGCAATTGCAATCGATATAGACGTTTCATTTTTAATAAGATACACTTATTACACAACGTTGAATACGTTCGACGAAAATTAAATTAATTCTTTACTTAAACGATACGTCACGTAACCATACGTGTGAAGATAGTATTTGTCACGGTGTAAAACATAGAACGCGAGATGGATCTCGAAGATACAAGAGCACAATAAACGATCGATATACTCGCATCGACTCTCGCTCTTCGTTGCAAGATTTATGGAATACCAAACGGATGTCACAATGCGAGTCATAATTCAAATAGACGATCGTTAAAACACGGGTAAACATAGGCATGTCGTTAACAAACTTTCAATCTAATTAAAACACGCCAGCTAATTAAAATGCAATTATTCAAGTGATGTTTGTCCAATGTACAACTTCTACAGCGATAAGTAAATTCACTGACAACACGTCGCCTATCGATGGTGCTATTTGCTTACTTTCTCTATTTTGACACTGAACCGAGCGAATATACATAAGAACATAAATATTTCACCGATCGTTGCAAATAATACACGACTATTCTAATATAAATTTAAACAGGAAAAGCGATGCATCCAGTCACGACGTCTTACTACTACCTCGCTTCATCGAATAATTCCTGGAAACCGATAAAAACGTACCATTTTGGACAGAGTAGTCCCATTCGTTCTTGTCGGCCATCTCGGTGAAAGACGATCGCCTTATCGGAAATTCAGGTCCGGGAAATTAAGATCCGAGTAGAGTCTGCTGCCTGTCGTCTTGTCTGCTTCTGATCTTCGATCGATACCAACACGTCACTCTATTACGATTCTATTTCGATTTTTCGTCTCCACGAGCTAAGATTGCCGCCAAATTCTCGATCGAAATTCACAACCGTTCGACTCGAACCTCGCAAAACGAAATCGAGATAAGGCTGACAGATCCTCGACTAATTTCTAACCTTTCTTTCCTCTACTTTCTTTTTCGGAAAATAGCCGATTTGTGGACGCACGAAAAATTTTACAACCACACCGGATATCAAATATCGCGTAAATATCAACAACGATCAACGAAAACTGTTGCTCCTAAAACTCGGCACGGTACAAGCTGATTCACCAAACACGGGATCGTCCACGAATGCGACGCCGGCCGGCCGATCGCTGGATTTTATACGCGCACCGGTCACGTGACCTGTACTACGAGCATCCGGGCGTCTGCGCATGCGCCGCTAGTGTTTACACGTGCCCCACGAGCCCCCCACCACTTCTTACGTAGCACGTGCTTGGTTGTGAAGAACAACATCGACGCTATCCGCTGTTACCAAAACTTTTCGCATGTTTGTGTATACACAATTCGTTCGAATAATATTAATCCGACAAATTTAACCAACTGTTTGAAATACACCTGATAGATCGATAACCGTTGTGAAAGATCGAATTTGCTACGTACACTTACCGACGAGAGCTCGCATTCGCGAGGGGGAAATTTAACCAGAGGGATCTAACACGTTAATGATTCATTTTATAATCTATTTTAAACGATGGACATTAATCTGGATGAAGTGATAACGTAATAGATCGCGTGACAATTGTTCCATCAACCGTAGGCGAATTGAAATGAAACACGAGAGTCTGGTATAACTTTGCTGTATGAGTTTTCCTCCTGTTCACGAGATATATAGGTTATCGTGCAGTTCTTGAAATTTTCACCAACTTTCACACCGGATTTGTCTATTAGAAACAATGCACTCGATTATCGTCATCGAACGATGATTAACGATACGATGAAAGGAGAGAGATTAGATTAATCGTCGTACTTGAGTGTTTTTCGTACGATATCTGCGACATTGGCGGCATTCGTTTTAAGTGCACAATTGTGTTCTTTTTGTTTAATTAATCCGCAGACGCACGAGTTACGTCGTTAGATTCTCGTAGATCATTGCTCCCCCTCGACTTACTCACAGGAAGATTACGATTTGATAGCGAAGACGCAGACGTCAGATGGTGAATCAGGGTCATTGTTTAGAGGTCGAGGACCGGGATATTCCATTGCTCTTTCACTTTGTTGCTCATTCTGTAAGAAACGCCCGGTCTAACGGGTCTCGCCTTTCTTCCAAAATAGACTGTGTGAGGTAACTCACGCACCTGGGCAGGTTGCGACACGTCGTGCCTGTGAGAACACGTTTGAAAAGTTCGTAGGAAAAGTTTGGGAGTGGTTCGACTCAAGGGAGAGATTTGTTTGGTTCAATTTTTGGGCGAGATATCTCGCGACTCAAAATTTCGCGAATTTGATATCTTGGGACTCGATGTAATAGAGTTAACGCTTTGGGCGAGATATCTCGCGACTCAAAATTTCGCGAATTTGATATCTTGGGACTCGATATAATTGAGTTGGCGCTTTGGACGAGGTATCTCGCGACTCAGTATCTTACGATTCAAAATCTCGTGACTTGGTATCTTGGGACTCGATATCATTCAATTGACGCTTTGGACGAGATATCTCGCGACTCGATACCTCGCGAATTTGATATCTTGAGACTCGATATCATTCAATTGACGCTTTGGACGAGATATTTCGCGACTCAAAATTTCGCGAATTTGATATCTTGAGACTCGATATCATTCAATTGACGCTTTGGACGAGATATCCCGCGACTCAAAATTTCGCGATTGGAAATCTTGCGAATTTGATATCTTGGGACTCGATATAATAGAGTTAACGCTTTGGGCGAGATATCTCGCGACTTAAAATTTCGCGAATTTGATATCTTGAGACTCGATATAATTCAATTGACGCTTTGGACGAGATATCCCGCGACTCAAAATTTCGCGATTGGAAATCTTGCGAATTTGATATCTTGGGACTTGATATAATTGAGTTGGCGCTTTGAACGAGATATCTCGCGACTTAAAATTTCGCGAATTTGATATCTTGAGACTCGATATAATTGAGTTGGCGCTTTGGACGAAGTATCTCGCGACTCAATATCTTACGATTCAAGATCTCGCGACTTGAAATCTCGCGACTTGATATCTCGCGAATTTGATATCTTGGGACTCGATATCATTGAGTTGGAGATTTGGACGAGATATCTCGCGACTCGATATCTCGCGACTCAAAATCTCGCGACTTGAAATCTCGTGACTGGAAATTTCGCGATTCGTCATCTATCTGTCGATGCTTTAGACCAGATATTCCATGACTCAATATCACTCAGTTGACGCTTTGGACGAGATATCTCGCGAATTTGATATTTTAGGGCTCGAGATATCGTCCATTCGGCGCTTTAGTCTCGATATCTCGCGACTCACTATCATTAACTTACCACTGTAAACAAAATATCTCGCGACTCAATGTCACCGAATTAACATTTCGGACGTGATATCTCGCGAACAAATATCTACCCATTTCACACTTCAGACGAGATGTCTCGTCTGAAACTCGAAGCATCTCCTTCAAATAATCAGTACACATAAAAATTAGTTCGCGAGATACCAAAGTGTTGAAAGTACCCACACTAAAAAATTCCTCAACAAGTCGTTCATACACTATCTCTCTAATTTCAAAATTAAAAAAAAATATATTTATCACTAGCGTACATTCCTCCGACACTCGTAATTCCATCTTTCGTTACGTCCTTCGAAAGGATTGAGTAATTAAGCAAAGAAACGAGGGTAATCGCTAAAGTTCTCCGCAAACCTACGAGAAGAAAAATTCTGCGATAAAGTTAGACACGGCCGGATCTTCGAAGATAAAGGTTTACGATAGTGACAAGATGCCCGTATATCACACACTCGTGAGAGAAAGAGAATTTCACACAGACTACGTTCTTGCTGAGAATGTTTGGATTGCCAAAGTCACAGAGATAGGGCCTTGTTCAATTTTCCTTTTAAGTACAAACCAGCAAAGTAGTAGCATTTGACAATTCGTACATAAGAGACGCCTCGCGCCACTTTAATTTCATCGTGCTCGGATAACATTGTCACGTCAGTTGTTATGTCATGGAACGTGCCCGGAGACGTTCGCGTGGTCGTTTCGTCTTCGTTATACCAATAAAACAAGCCGCTCGCACTACGATGCTCTCAATAAAAATTAATGAATTCCAGCAAATTCCATCGCGAAACGTCAATGGACGGTTCGTTCATCCTTCTCCAACCACCTTTCCACCATTTCTTTCCTCCAGATCATCCGCTCCTTATTATCCCGAGACACTCTGCAATCACGATCACTTTTTGTCCTTAAACTTCTGTCTTCTGCGACGGATCTGGATCAATGTCGCTCGTTACCCAAATTCTTGCCTTGAAATTTCTTCGGCGCCACGAACGAGAGTTTCCTTAAAAAATGATTTGCACGAACAAGTGTTTCTCTTTTTTTATCGTACACTTGGTCGATAGAGAAGCGAGATTTCATTTGTAAGATCGAATCGCGCGAACATGACACGCTGTTGCATAAAAGAAACGAGAGGACCGTGCAGACAGATATCTTTTTTTAATAATTGGGCCGTGCGTAACAATTGACCAACGACCGATCGCGCAATCCATTTTGGTATGCCTCGATGCAAGGTCTATTGGTCGACGAACCGACGAGATGCCGTGCTTGGAAGTTTAATTCCGATCGAATAAATTTGATCGCACGTTAGAACCTCGAATAGTTAAATTTAGTACGCTTCTGACTATTCGAGTCGTTTTTAAAAAAAAAGAAGAGAAAAAAACGGACACGAAGCACGTGAATTTTCCTACACTTAAAGATAATCTAGAGAAATTATTGAAATTGAAAAGACCTCGTCGTAAGTTCATCGGAACTTTTAGCAAACCCACCGAGAACCGCGTGCAACTTTAAATTCTAATTTTCTTCTTTTCTTCGTCAACATTTCTGCATTATTACTCATACATCCGTAATTTCTGCATTTGCCTCTCAAAGGTCCGCGCGATATTCCTGTTCGAACTCATTCTAAAAGCTCTTGCGCAATCGTGCATCCTCGATTTTCCAATTTTCCATGTTTGCACTCTAATTTGCGAACGCGCACACAGGAAAAAAAATAACATTCCCCCGCGGTTCGAATTCTTTCTAAACAGTTGCGCAATCGCCATTTTGCCTGTCCTTCGCGACAATCAAACCGTTCACCAATCGAGGGCCACCTTCGTAATCTTTGTAATCTGTAATCTCGCGCGGAATTCGCGGAACTCCTCGAATAGAAAAAAGGATTTATGTTAATCACGGTGAACGTTACTCCAGTTCACCTGTTAGTTTCTTCCTTTAACATTTGTCGTCATTGCACATTAATCATCGGCGCTCTCGTAACATAGGCAAACAGACGTGATAAAAATGCTAATAAGATGCGCAACGCTCTTTGGACCATTTGCAATAATACTTCGTTTGTTTTCTTAATATCCTCGTTACGCATCCCATTAGCGCCTTCTATTTTAAGACGGAAGCCTTGTTTATTAACCGTTCGAACACCTGACGTCCTTTTAATCGAAACGTAACAGTCGGGTAATATTTTAATTGGGTCGTTCGATGAATTTTTGTTCTTTGGGGAAGAATACGACGAACGAAGAGAATCGTTCGGGTTCTTTTCATTTTTAATAAAAAAAAAAATGGAGGAAGAATACGACTGACGAAGGAATTCATTTCTGCAAAGAACCGTTCGGGTCCTTTTTATTTTTAATAAAGAAATGGAGGTAAAGTACGACTAACAGAGAATCATTCAGGTTCTTTTTATTTTTAATACGAAAAATGGAGGTAAAGTACGACTAACAGAGAATCATTCAGATTCTTTTTATTTTTAATACAAGAAACGGCGGTAAAGTACGACTAACAGAGAATCATTCAGGTTCTTTTTATTTTCAATAAAAAAAGGGGTTTACAGTACTACAAACTGGTTTCGATCGATAGAATTTAAAGCATTCACACGATCAATACTCGATAATTCAGAATTTCAATTAATTAACGAGTGAATTCTTATCAGAATTTACCGAATCTCTTTAAAGAAACACAATTAATCCACTTACCCTCTGAATCACTGGTTCCCAAAAATCGGCACCATGCTCTTATCGACGTTACATTAGCCGGTGAACACAGTTCCGCAATTATCGCGATAGTGTTCAAACACCGGAGCGTCGAAT